TCGGGCGTGCCTTAGAAATCTCTTTCACTGTAATTGATTATAATAATAAAACTACAACCTATTTTCAACATTTATAACCAGTTTGTCGCTTTAAATCGTGTGGTTTTTTCTTTCAAATATTATAATAAACTATTCAAAAATATATAAGTTGCTCTAAAATTAAATAAATATGGATTTTACAATATAAATGATAATACAATATCGTGTATAAGTTAAAGATTAAACTAACCTAAGGGTAGATTGATTTCTTTAAATTTGAATTGGAACAATTTGTTTCATTTATCGCATGACATACACAAAAAGAATAACCAAATTTTGCTTTTTTAAAGCTAGCTGAAAATTATAATTTAATATGTAAAACATTTTCCTTAACATAATTCTTGTGTAACCTTTTGTTTTCTCACGAACAGAAGTAACATTCGCGTTATAAATCATTATGATATATACCGACCACGTATCATATTCTAAAAGCAAACAATCGCCCGCCAAAATTAATTTGAAAGTCACACAAAATTGTTAATTTACGCGTTTTGATCCCGCGCCAAAAAGATCAAACGCTGCGTGACCTTCAGTGCTAGCGATCTACAATACACCTGCGCTGTTATATGCCTATAAAATTTACAATAAAAATCTAGCTTAAAAATTTAATTTTTTATATTTAATAAAATATAAAAGTTTTACTCGAAATAGGTATAATAACAAAGACGTAATATAAGATAAATAACCAAGATAAATGCTCGTTAAAGACTTAAGGACAGAACGTGTAAGAAGTTAAAAATAAATAATATTATAAGCATATTTTGAATACACTGTACAATATTTGTATATGGTAAGCTTTTAAAGTTTGAAGTTAGCTTTTTATATAACATTAACGTATAAATTTGGATAGTCAAGGAATCTTTAGCAATGACAGTTTCATTACACAAATTTATCATAACCACTATAAAGGCAATTAAAATGAGAGCTAAAGGCGCTTACACAAAGTTACACAAAGCGGTTTACAGCGAGTCGTGGACCAACAATGAGCTTTTGTTTGTTGGTAATGGACGGCCTTTGTCGCGAGCCTAAATTTTGACTTATTGTTCGCGGTGTGCATACACCTTTAGAATTTAATTTACATTAGGCACAGTTTCTAGAGAAATCTTCATTTTATAATTTATAACAGTCTTAGATGCAGTGGAGAGTTTTTTTTTATTTTCATGTATTAAATTATATGGCTAATAAAAACATTTGGTAATATTAAATATACACTATGGGAATATATTGGTAATCATTGTGATTTTCATTTAAAAGCAGCTACGCACAAAAAAATCCAATCCAGGTAAGAAACATGAACATGTTCAGAATACAAAAAGCGTGTATTGTAAAAAGCTCAATTTTTTATATTTTACATCAGAATAGAATAACATAACAACAATAGGAAATATTATAATCAAATATAACTTAATATTTACGCAAGGGCTCGTAAAAGATGGAGATTAAAGTTAACGCAGTGTAGCGCAAACGTCTAACCTACAGCTGCCTTCAATTTATTGTTTAATGAACCGATGTAAGTTTTACTACTAAAGATGTCTTGAACGCAAAAAAAAGTTTTAATGCAATTCAAAATAAGTTTAACTATTTATTTTCTTATATTTTATACGAGCTTAGATTTATAAGGCTTAAAAGTAAAACAATTATGGGTTATATAATTCAAATTAAAAGTGCTAACCCCTGTTTAGCAGCACTTTACGTTGCTGGCTCACAAAAACTATCTACTAAAGAAACTTCACCCACCAATCCTAAAGTCAAGGGATTAGAACTAACGATTAAAGTTTAGTATTAAAAATAAACTAGTCTTCTCGAACACTGCCTTCGATCTTTTTCTCTAAATGAGCCATGACTTTAATGTGACTTTAAAATGTATTGAACACAAGCTCTATGAATAACTTTTAAGATGAATCGTTAGTTTGTACAGCAAAATAATACCATACCATTTAAAAATTTAAATAGACCAACGGTAATTACATAGTTAAATTTCATTTTTTTTCATATTTCATATATGAAAAAAAAATGAATACTTTAAATATGGTTTTTTATTCTTAAAAAAACTGAACGTCGGTATAATATTTGACATTTATTCTTCGATTTTCTACTTTTCTACATAAGATACTGTTATATCTTCTATTCTTATGATCTTTAAGTATACGCCACTATAATTAATTTAATTATTGTTTATTTGTATATCCGGATTTATCCGGTCTTAGACAAATATTCAATCCCTTCACAAATCGATCCTCCGACTTTACTAACTTGCAGTGTAACTAAATTGCAGTGAGCTACTCATTATAAACATTCCTAATATTATGTAAAAGGACGTGAAAAGATTACATAAGTAGAACGTCCATATATAATACTAGCATTGCCCGCGGCTCCACCCGCGTTCAGATGACCAAAAATCAAATTCTTATGTTTTACATATTAGTATACATTACTTACATTGCAGTTTTTGTATTTTTTTCTCAAAAATGAGATATTTTCCCGCGGTAAAAAGTATCCTATATGATGACCCTGATGACCAGCTATCTCCATACCAAATTTCATCAAAATCCCTTCAGTGGTTTTCCTGTGATTTGGTAACAGACAGACTGACAAAAATTCTAAGAACTACAGATTCGGCCTCTGTATCGATACCAACGTTTATTTTAGTAAGATTTTCCAAAAATATTTAATGTACAGATTCGGCTTAGAATTTTATTATATGTATAGATGAAACATATTAAAGTTCTAAGTCCAATGATCCGGATCAAAGTTAATTGTCCCACGGCGAATGAACATCAACCTAATATTATTCCAATCGCGCCATTGTTTGCAATACACCATGGATATAAAGAATACTAATGTATCCATAATTTCGCTTTTTAACTAAATTGGCGGAAAAGTCTAATCCTTCAGACAATAGAATACGTGTGTGGCCATTTTGTAATTTATTACAAAGCTTTTTAATTTACATTTACATTTTCCGTTTTGTAAATGTTATACGAGGGGCGTTCAATAAAAAGTGAGTATGAGTATGTTGCTGGTAACTTTTATTAAGTGTTATTTTATTTTTCGATATAGTCGCCTTTTAGCATACTACACTTGGAATATCTTTTTTCTAAGCTTAAAATTCCTTAAAAAACCCTTCATCCTTAGCACCTAAAAGTTCCTGTCCTGCAGCGACTACTGCTTCATCATTTTCAAATCTCTGTCCTCTCAGAGAGTCCTTCAACTTTAGAAATAAATAGAAATCACAGGAGCTAGGTCGGCTAAATGTGGAGGATGCTGAAGTATTTCAAAGCCAGCGTTTCAGCAAAACAATTTTTACTAGTTTGCCCCGTCTAATTTCGTTACACCATTTTTTTATTTATTTTGCATACAAAGAGCCCGTAATAGTAGCTCCGTGGTTGAGATATTCTATCACGACCGACCCTTTACTATCCCAGAAAAGAGAACCCATGATCTTTACGGCAGTACGACTCGCCTTTTGGAGAAGATAGTCTTTTCTAAGTCATAGACTGTAATTTTGTTTCTGGATTGTTTATGTGCATTGTGATTGGTAAGCTTTCTGGGGACCCAGCGCGCGGATACTTTTTTATCCCCATTTGAGTAAAACGCTATGCACACTACCTCTCGAGTCGTAATCTTTATTTCTTCGGCTACAAAACGTACCGTGACACGATCGATCGACGATCTGCGAAAACAATGTTTTCGTCTTTTTTGACAATTTCTTCGGTGACTACTGTTGTGAAGCGGCCCGAGGGCGGGTCATCCTTGGTGGATGTTCTTCCACGTTTAAATTCGACGCATCAACGTAGAACACAACTATAGCAACTGTAGAGTACGGTAGAGCATTTGCTTCTAAAGTATCCTGTAAGTGTTGATTAACTCGTTTAGTAGTGAAATTTCTCAACCAAATATCTGATTTAATAACCACGCGCTATTCTATTTTTTCCATTTTCGACAACATGCTACAACAGACTGCATTAACTTTTTTCGGTTCCAAAGAGTTTGTACTTTGTACCTCATTCTCACTTTATAAAGAACACCCTACGGATATAATAGTTCAAAAACATGCATTCCTTTAGATCGTATTAGCATAAAAACTTTTAAACTTTTTCACTTAGTAATTATATGTGTTTGATAAAATTATTATTTTCTTGTACGACCAGCAGAAATTGCTAAACCAAATCAACTATTTATAACCCACGTTATTCAATGCAAGCATATGAATTAACTTCAATTATCTATTATTATATGAAAACGCTATTCCTTTATTTTACACTGCTATTTGAAAAGTTCAAATATGTTCCTAATGACAGCAAATAAGCCTCATTATGTCCGGTAATAGAAAATAATGACATAGGACTAGTACTCTTCAATTTTCTATTTCCAATTTAAAATGATCGTGTATTAGATATACAAGTGTAGCTCGGGCCCGGTGAGCCTTATTACTATATGTAATAAAATAATAAGCTCACGAGTCTTTATGGAATTAAAATATACGAACAAATAACCAAAGTATAATGAAATTTATTATAAGATATAGTTTGAGCAAACATTTCTAAATATAGCTTTTTTGTAGCTGCTACCTCGTTATATAAAAATTTGCTTAAACAATTTATAACAGACGGTACTTTGATTTCCTAAAAGAAACAAAGTATTTGTATGAACTTCTAACACAAATTTTTTATTCTTTTTTCTCTAATAATTTGCTGCGTGAATTCTTTAACAATACTTATTATTTTTGCATTTTCCTATTTGCATCTGAAATATTTTGCTTTTTAATTATAATATTTTGCACTCTCATTTGTCTCTATTTAATTAATTATTATATCAATTTATAAGCTATTTCATCCTTAGCCATGATATTTTATCGGATGAAATTTTAAAATTTGTACATATTAATAATATTTCTAATACATATAAATTAAGATCTGGAGTGACACATGGCAAATAAATAAAAAACAAAATGTTTCCAGAGCTACCGCGGTCGCAAGCCCCTCGGTGGGGCAGTGTCGGTCGGCCTGAGCCCCGGCGTGCCCGCTGCCGCGTCGCCCGGCCCCGCGGCCCCCGCCGCGCCCAGCCCCGCGCCCGCCACCGCGCCAGCTATGAAGCAAGAACACCCTAGCCAGCCAATGGTAAGAATCAGACTGGTAAATAACAGTAGAATTAGTTAGAGATAATAATAAAATTCTCTTTCTTCTTCTTGGAGAATTTGGCCACGGCGACTCGTCTTCCTGGGAGCAGGGCTGTACTGGATGTGATGGGACTTGGGAAATTTCAGTACAAAATTGGAGTCTTGTGGATCTTCTGGCACATCCATACACAATACAACCTATATTGTCTGTGGGCACATCATAACGATTTAAAAAAGCAATCTCTCATCTTACATAAATACAATTTCACAATATTTCCTTTATTGAATAACTAGGAAAACTTTCATTTTCTTTTATTATGTACTTATATCATTTTACTAGTGCAGTAGCTTTTCTTTCTTAAGATAGGTACTAATGTATTATTGAAAAAATTTCTTTCTCTACACATAAACAAACTTTTAATTAAAATTATAATTAACCACCACATGTAAGTTAAGTTTTCTATAACATTCATTAAGATAAAATATCGAAATCGCTAGAAGTTAGTTAGTAAGTTAGTTTTATGAGTTTAAAACAAACAACACTAATTACAAATATTACGGTAGTTATGTTAATTATTGCCCCAATTATTAGCCGCATATGATATTTATAAACTAATAAAGTTTAATGGAAGCGACCTAACAACGATTAAAGTAATATGAAACTTAAAGTAATTACGAAAGCTCAGAAATTGTTGTCTATACTGTGCGACGTTAAATCGAATTCCTTACAAATAAAATATGCGAGTCCCGTCAAAGAACTTGCTTAATTTGTTTATCTTTACCCCATTATTCTTCTACAGAATGAAACAGGTTTTCATAATTATAATCAACTCAAGTTTGTACAGTGTAATTGTGTTTGTTTCTATAGGAAATTCATTTTATTATCACAGTAACTTAATCTAAAGCTGAGCTTAGTAAGAGCTTACTAATTTTAAATTAGAAACAGAATATGGAGTTGCTATATATAAAAACTTATTTTTACTAATATATTAAAATAAAAAAAAACAAAGAAGTAATTGGCAGTTGGATATAAATAACGTGGCAAAAAGTTCAACAGCGTTTGAATTTCAACGGCAACTTGAGCAATTTAGGCACAGTCGCAACTCGCGCTCAATTTATCGTGCCTATAGAAACTCGCGCTCTGTATCGTACTTCACAAACGAACACTTGTGATTAACGCCTGTCCCGATATGCAACTTGTTCTTTTAAACATATTTGTTTACCACCTTATGATGCCGTTATTTTTCGTAAATACTATTAAGCTTTTATTTATTTTTTTATATTCGAATATAGGTACTTATTTTTAATAAAAGCGTTTTAATTGCTTTAATCCCTCCACAACCGCGGACACGCCGGCGTGTCAGTTAACATATTTAACAGATTTCTTAGAATTTTAATTAATTTCTTAGAAATTTACCTGGAGGAATTACAAATACACAGAATAACACCTTAGCTAACCATATTAACAATTAAGCTCGTGTTATGGAACGTAACGTGGAACGTTCATTAATGAAATTTCAACTTTGGACTGCTCCTATCTTATAAGAAATTAAAATCTTTCGTCAAAGTTCAACTGTTTCAAACAACCAAAGAACCACGTAATGTTATAACATATTGTGCCATGCCTTGATTTCTTCAGCAAGTTTCAGAATTTAATCATTTTTTCCCTGAAACGATATTAAAATTTTAACGTGCCTTTTCATACGCTGGAATTTAAGTGGCTCTATTTTTAATTTTCCGAACGAAAATCTGCAAAAAATATTATATAATATATACGTTAAGTAACTCGCTTTTAAACGTTCTTACGTTAGGCACGTTGTGAGAAAAGAATCATGTTTAAGAGAAAATTAAATACCAGTTTATATTAAAACTTGTCTTAAAAATGAGAATAAATTTTCCCAAAGAAAATTAAACTCTGCTTATGAAAACTTGTGTTAAGTTCTTTTTCTTCGCGAGAAAATATCTCGCTATAGGTCAACGACAGAATATAAAATAATCGTGTAATTATCTTTGGCTTTTACATTTTTGTCACCTTTCGAAATAGAAAATCCTAAAAAAAATTTTTTATAACATGATATGCTTTCTAATGCTTAAAGCAATCACAAGAAAAACTAGTTACATACCTTAAATTACTTTAAAAGATAATCAATTTGAAAAATATTTCTAACAACAAATATAACATTGTTTTATATAGAAGATCTTGATGTCTCATAATGATTTTAAAACCTTCATAACAATGCCCTTGGTGAAAAATTACTTACCTATAGTATTTACTGACCATAATATATGGTTTGTCGACCTCGATGCGTGATTGCGTTGGACAGTTCACAGGTAATTAGGTAAACAACGCCCGAGGTCGCGTGCCCTTGGCCGACTTATACTATTGTACACACACGTTTAGCTACGCATACTTATTTCAATTATTATATAAAAATTTGGCCATGAATGAGTAAGTTAAGCCAAAGTTTATGAGTTTAATTTAAGTTTTATTCTATTTGTTTATAATCAAACAAACTTAGGTTCCTATACTGCATTCCTACATATAACGGTATAGTCAAAGTTTAAAATGTATGTAAATATTTTTGTTTCAGGCACCGATGCCGTTCTACGCGGGAGACCCAAACAGATTCCCCACAGCCTGGCAAACGGATCCTTCGCAGGGTACGTGCCAGTGTTTACTATTCATTAAAATGTTATTTGAGTAAATTAAACTTCCCCGAGTTTAAACCTAAGTTGAAAACATTTTTTAACGAGGACGTGTGCTTTTCACATTTTATATAATTAACGCTGACAGCGAATTAGCAGTCTCACACCACTCTAATCAACAGTTTTAATTACAATATTGTTATAAGACGCGATCACTTTCCCGTTAAAATTCTTATTTTAATAATACCTTATAGTAAATATTTCAAATATTTTCTTCCAGGTTGGCAGAACCAGTTTATTCAACAATTACCAACACAAACGGGTCAGACCACTTTAGACTATCAAGGAAATCATACTCCTTACGCAACATCTCCTCATTACCAAGCAAACACCACTTACACCGTCCAAAACGTCGCAACAACATTTGATGTTACGAGTAATACCTATTATCAAGCCGGAGTCCAAGCTGTTCCAGCGCAGAGACCACCATCCAATCGCGGTGCATATACGCCAGTGCCATCCCCTAGAGCTCCACATTACACAACAGAATACCAACAACAATACGCTCAACAAGCATCCACTCCCGGTGTTACTTCTGGCAACGACTCGAGACCTGCGTCTGCTGCTTCATATCAAAGTTCGGTCCCAACAACTGCTGCACCAGTTTATACAGTGAGTCAACCGAGCTACGAACGCACAGAATATTCAACAGAACATTCTGAGGATTACAATAGCGGGGATAACACGGTTGAGAGCAATGATGGTGATAGACAAGAACAAAATGCCTCGAATAGTCAGCATTCGGGAAACGCCGAGCCTGGATACCTGCAGGGGAGCAACGGTCCGCGAGCTTCACTAGATTGTAACGGGTATCCGGGCAACTATACAGGCGGACAATATACAGATAATGGGCAAACGCAAAACCAAAACGATTGGCAACAGCGCCAATGGCAACATAACCAAAGAATACAAAATCAACAATTACAAAACCAACAGATGCAAAATCAACAGTTACAGAACCAGCAACAAATTCAAAACCAACAACAGATGCAAAATCAACAACAGTTGCAAAATCAACAGCAGATGCAAAATCAACAGCAGATGCAAAATCAACAACAGATGCAAAATCAGCAACAGCAAAATCAAAATCAACAGCAAATTCAAAACCAGCAACAATTTCAAAACCAGCAACAACTTCAAAACCAACAACAACAACTTCAGAATCAACAACAACTGCAAAGCCAACAACAACAGCAACAACTTCAAAATCAACAGCAACTTCAAAGTCAACAGCAGTTAAATCAATTGCAAAGTCAACAACAACAAATGCAAAATCAACATCAACAAATCCAAAATCAGATTCAGAATCATCAAAACCAACAGCAAATGCAAAGTCAGCAAATGCAACAACATAGACAAGAAGAATCTGAACAGCAAATGTTTTCTCAATCTGACAGGGTCAATTTGAACTCTAGACTGAAAACAATGATATTAAATAAGCAAAACCATATTAGGGATGGCACAAACACACCACCCGATAAAGGAGACCCAGGAGAAGGTCCTCCTCGCGTAGATGATAGAAAGGGTGGAATGACCGATGATAGAAATAACACCGGTCATTTTTTATCGTATAGCCACCATCTCCGAGATAATTACCGCTTAGGCGAACAGGGTTTTCCTGTCGCTGGTAATTATTCACAAAGCACTCATGCTTATAGCGTGAGTGAATTCGGAGGTGGTGGCCACCAAGTATGGGAGGGGGGGACGGAAGTCTCGAAATCTTATGATAAACATAATTTGTCCAAGAACGTCTCTAAAACTCCTCAAAAATTACCATCTTATGCTGATATGAGAGGACAGTACGCATCGTATCCCAGTATACCTTATGAAGCACAGAAATATGCCGAAATATACGGTAGTGATAGTAATTTAAGTTATAGCCAACAAGACAACAAAGATTTTCAATCGAAAATGCTTATTGGGCCCGTTTCTGACATGAACCAACAAAATTTAGCACGAGAAACAAATACACAAAAGAGAGGGTATGATAGAGAAATTTTTGACTCTAAATTAAGACACGCATCAGCACCTTTAATACCTAAATTAGAAATACCTGAAAATTATCAATATTTTAGAGATCCTATTAAAACGGAACCTCAAAGAATTATGACTCAAAATTATTACCCAAAACATAGCGAATCTATCAACATTCCATATAAAGAATATCCTAACGGTGTGGTATCTTCGCCACAGCAAATCTCTGTATTACCTCCTATATCCACCATAAAGCATGAACATTTTGCCCAGAGACCACAAAACTATCAGAATCTTCAACAAACTTACGACAGAAAACCTATTAAATCCGGTACATATGCCCCAATTCCTAGAATGCCAGAAAGTTTAGCGTTTCAAAAATACAATAGAAATTACGATCCCAGATATAGCAAGGAAATAGAAAGCCGGGGGAGCTCTGAACGTAACACTCCTGTAGATCCAAAACCATACTATATAGAACAAATAAAATCAGAGCACTCGCCACCGGGACATAAGATATACAAAAATCTAAACTATGGTCCACCAAAAAACGAGCCATATATGTTTGCTGGAGAAGGTGGACCGGTTTGCATTAGAAATGAAGTCGGTTATGCCTGCTGTAGACAAGGTTCTACTAAAAAACCACCGCCGGAACATTTAAGAGACGGTGCATGTCCAGGGCTTCAAACCAAAGATGAAGTTTTAGAAGATGATCCTGATTGTGCTGATAAAGTAGATCAAAAAAGTCAGTCTAAGCCTGGTACTCCAATACCAGACCCATTTGTTAAAAATATAAAGGAGAATCAATTCAATTATTCCAAAGAATATTTAGAAAACTTAGAGAGGCTGAGAAATAATTCTAGAACGGAAGTACCAGATTGTAATTGCTTTCCTGCTGACAAAAATCCTCCTGAACCTGGCAGCTATTATACTCACTTAGGTACGAAAGTATTTCCTAAATTTATACGAAAATTTCAGCTGTGAAGTATTTAAGTTTTTCGTTCAAAATAAATTTAATTTATTTTTTAAATAATTACAGGAGCATCTTCATCTTTATGTGAACTAAGAAAAGATCTTGAAGCACGTACAGGCTTAACTGGCAAAGAGTTAAGGATAGAGAAAGTCTGTTATACTGGGAAAGAAGGCAAAACTGCTCAAGGTTGTCCTATGGCTAAGTGGGTGAGTGTATGGATCGAAACTAATTTTTATTATTACTTACACTTTCTCATCTCACTTTAAGTTTGCCTTCATGACGGAATCTCGATTTGTTCCTACATAATGTAAAATTTCTATATAACTTTGTAAGTCTTATAATAATTTATCCGCAGTAGTCTAAAGTTAATATTATACCTATATGATATTATAGTAAATAACAATATTTTATTCATATTACAGGTAATACGCCGGTCCAATTATACTGAGAAAGTATTAGTAGTAGTAAAATTTCGCAACGGCCATAAGTGTCCTACTTCCTGGATAGTAGTTTGCTTGGTGGCGTGGGAGGGTATTCCACAATCTGAAGCTGACTTAGATTACACATTATTGTCCCATAAATTAAATAGATACGGATTACCAACGACTCGTCGATGTGCGACGAACGAGAACAGAACTTGTGCTTGCCAAGGTAAGTATTGTATTGTAAAGCGATTTTTTTATTTATTCTTGAGTTTGAGTATTTACTTTTGTATTCTATGGAAGACGTTATAAATACGTTCTGATTTAAACACTTTTAACATAGAATAATTTGTATTAGTAGTAAAATTGTTTTTCAGGTCTCGACCCGGAGACGTGCGGCGCATCGTACAGTTTCGGCTGCTCCTGGTCCATGTACTATAATGGATGCAAATACGCCCGTTCGAAAACCGTCCGAAAGTTCCGACTTTCGGTCAAAACTGAGGAGAGCGAAATTGAAGAGCGCATGCATGTGTTGGCGACTTTGCTGAGCCCTTTATACATGAATCTTGCTCCGAAATCGTTTGATAACCAGTGTCAGTTTGAAAAAGAAGCTTCAGATTGTCGATTGGGTTTTAAACCAGGACGTCCATTTTCTGGTAAGTTTTTGTTGGTTTTATATAAAAATAAATTGTTATTATTTAATACTCATTTCATTTTATTCAACTTTTTTTAATTTTATCTACACATTTCATTGAAAAAGCTGTTGATGCTAAATTACTATTTTCATTTCAAGGTGTAACAGCATGTATAGATTTTTGCGCACACGCTCATAGAGACCTACACAACATGAATAACGGTTGTACTGCTGTGGTGACTCTTGCTAAGCATCGGGCACTATCTAAACCTAATGATGAACAATTTCATGTCCTACCGTTATACGTTCTCGATACAACTGATGAGTTTGGATCTAAAGAAGCACAGGAAGAAAAGATCAAAAGTGGAGCTTTAGAAGTCTTGGACAAGTGAGTGGTGATGTACAATCTTCATTATATAATTTCATTACATATCCACTTTTTGAACATTTGATACAATATTTATAAAGCAAAAGAACAAATTTCACATAACTTATTATAGCTACACTCTATATTATTTTACTAAAAATAAAACTTTTACATTGCAGATACCCTATGGAAGTGAGAGTTCGATCAGTACCATTGCAACCGTGCCGACGTCACGGAAAAAAAAGAAAAGATGAAGATAATTCAGAATCAAATAATTCTACAAACACACCGCAGCAAAGTCCCGGAAGTCAGAAGAAACCGCAGTGTACAACACCTGCACCAAAAACTCCTCAACCAAATGACATGAGAAACAATTCTAGCCCAAGAAGCCAAAGTAGTGCTTCCCCAAGAGCTAGCACACCAGCTCATAATCAACCTCAGTTTCCAAATAATCCCCACTACAATTCTGCATTTGTTAACCCTAATATGCACAACCCTAACTCAGGACTAATGAATCCTAATTTAAGTAACCCAGCTTTACTCGACATGGCTTCAATGATCGATAATTTCACTGACGCCCAGTTACAAAGCAATCAGATTTCTAGCACTGTACTTGATTCCCCATATAATCCATATGACCAAAGCTATAATATACACAACCAAAATCCGGTGTACAATCATAACCATGTACCTTCTTTAGTGGAGAATAACTGTCAAAATGCAAATACCAATCAACTGCCAAGTTTTACTCCTACTTTACAAAAAAGGGATCAACAGTTTAGTACACATAGTTCTGTACCAATAAATCCCCAGCAACAGTGGCCCGATTTTGATAATCCTGAAATATTTAATAATGTTGTGAAAGAAGATCCAGATTCAACAACAGCCCATTTAAATATTCCGCCTAATAACTATAGTCCTGATTCTAATCGAAGTGAAACAAACTCAGAGCAAATTCCTAAGAATAGTTCAGAACTAGATAAACAAAATCCTATGGGTGAAGTGCCCCAAAAAATGCCAGAATTTGATATGCCGAATTCCCCACGACTAACAGAAATTTCTCAAAAAACGCAGCGAACGCCAGAATCACCGGTGCCAATACAAGAATTAAAATCTCCGAATAATGATACTCTCAACAATTCTGAGTTACGTAAAAGCGTATGGAAATCACCAGACTCAAAAAATTGGGAGTCGCCCAAACCCAAACCCAAAGAAGTTAGTGAAAATGAAAGTGCGCTATTTAGAGTTCCAAAAGCTAGGCCACCGTCGCGATCTCAGTATGCAAACCCCGCGGAAAATATGGAAAATTCTACGTTTCTGAAACCTTACCCACCCTCTGAGAGACCTCAATTAAATCAAGGCTATGAGAATAGAAATCCTTATGAAAATCGAATGAACAATGCACCCCCAACATCAGCGCACCAAACAAATTTTACCATAAACCATGAAGACAACCAAAACGCTGAGAATAAACCAGTCGCCGAATTTTTGGGCAATAATTTTCATCCAGTTAGTCAAAATAATTACAGCAATCAAGGACCAATACAGGGGTACGGAAACTATCCGCAAATGACCAACGCTTATCCGTTCACGCCAAATCCTTATGGTCATTTTAATCCTTACGAAAACTCGTACAATGATTATAATATCGCATATTACAATGCCGAAAAATATAAAAGAGAAGAATTAATAAGGAACTCACATTGCTACAATTCATATGGATACCAATACAATCCGAACTTTGCAGCTAACTTTTATCAAAATCCAAGTCCCAATTGGTGCCAATCTTCACCCAACTGGTGTTTATATCCCCCACCATTTTCTATTCCGTATCCCCCGGAACCACCAAAAGCGGAACCAATAGGGGAAGTTACAGGGTTAAGTGATAATCTTGAATGTTTCAAGGACAGCCAAATGGGAGGTGTTGCTATCGCTTTAGGCCACGGAAGTGTTTTATTTGAATGCGCCAAACACGAAATGCATTCTACAACTGCGGTTAAAAGTCCGAATAGAGTAAACCCGACGCGGATATCATTAGTGTTCTATCAACATAGAAATTTAAATCGCCCGAAACACGGCCTTGAAGAGTGGGAAGAAAAGATGCGGTTGAAAAAATTAGGTCTAAATCCTTCAACACCAAATACTCCAGGGCCAAATTCAAATTCAGTTTCACCAGCAACCACGCCTGGTCCCGACCAAAGGCAAACTCCCACTGAAAAGTGGAAGAATAACGAAAACCACATCCCTGGAGGTTTTAGTTCGTTATCAGCCTTAGTGGAGGCTACAAATGCCGCTAAAAAGAGTGGTCAAATAAGATTAAGGACGGACACACAAACAACAATGTCCTGGACAACTCTATTTCCCATGCATCCGTGTACGGTGACTGGCCCGTACCAAGAATCTGGTACTTGACGTAAACCAGGCCCAGTAGGGCACAGTTCTTCCAAGAAGCGGAGTGAAATCCCTCCCTTAGGCATGTAAAGTCTAAGTGGCCTTTCGATCTATGTCTTCTATAGCGATGTGCTTTCCAAAATTGTTCGTAGTTCCTGGATTTATAGAATTAAGCTCTCCGATCCTCGAGACTGGTCCATTGTTCCGATGACCATTGCATTTACATTGGAATTGACTACCGTATTAACATGTATTTTTCAAACCGAGTGAGTTTTTAATCAAAGATGTAATTTAAGTTTATATTTTAATAGTGTTTATCGCATTTCAGCTAGTCTTACGTTACTACGTTAGTGCTATGGTATTTCTTAGGCCGTAACTGTAGAGCTATTTGTATATTGATGTATTTAGTTTTACCGGCGATTTTCCGAATAAGTTTTTATTTTTACATGCTCTGTAAAATGACATTAGCATACGGTTTGTCTGCATATTTTGACAAGTTTCTAATTAAAGGCATAAGCAATGTTTTATGCGACTCAATGATCTCATAAAATACTAACTACGATTTATTCATTATAATCATTATTCAGAGCGAAAGTACAAAAGTCACAAGGAAGGCTACAACGCTGGCCTGAGGAGTCACGTTCGACGATCGTGTTTATTTATATTTTTGTACCTTTGTCTATTAGTTACTTCGTATTTTAATGATTTTATTATCATTCCTCTGCCTATCCGATTGTTTGTTTTGGCATTTTGTTCTTGCGAATGGAATCACGCGCAATCACAATCAACGGCAGCATGTGTACCACAAACGTAACGAGTGCTTTTATATTAGGTTAAGAGGTGTGTATTTTTAACTTTTAGAATATTTAACTTATTTATATTGTATTACGTGAACCATTATGAAATCATTTTCTTTGTAATAATTTAGCGTAGGTATTAATATTTAATATATTTGCTTTACGATTTGACATTAAATTATTGGCAGTTGTTTTGTGCATGTTTCGAGAGCCTTTACTTTAACTTGAGTGCCTGCGTCTGGCGAAACCAGAGAGAAATTCTTATTTCGAAAATCTTTTGAACTATTTAAATGTGACCTTATTTAAGAATCGAGTGCATCTATTAATGTTCTGCTAGATAAGCGATTGTGAAAAGTTAGTTACGTTCGTACATAAAAGAAAAGAAGAGTAATAAATTACATACATTTATAAGATAGAGTATTTGCAAAAAAATAAATAAATCAGGCGCTTGGAAAGATTATAAAGTAGGCATATTATTGAAAATGATCGAAAACATACTGATGAATAGTTATTAATATATAATTAGGTTAAGAAAAAGTTTGTTTTAAAGATTAAACTATTGATATAGTTTATATTTTTTACGTGTACGTATTTATTGAATGGTAAATTTATTGGAACATGAAATTATTTATAGGTAAAGAAGTTTTGAGAACAAAACTTATAAAAACTAAGCAATAATAGACATCGGGGTCTATGTACATTGTAATGTAGGAGTGATGAATATTATAGATAACGAATGGTGCGATTTATCGTCTGTCTTATGGAAATACTTACTCTTACCAGAAATTGCCTAAATTTTAATCTGATATTATTTTGTCATTGGTAAATGCCTGATCTTGCCATTAATTTGTTTTGTATAACGTCCGTACGTGGAGATGCATTGTATGACAAGACATATCAGAAGCATTCACAGTAAATTACAATATGTTAAATTCTCTTTGATATTATTGAAAATTGTAAAAAATATAACTCAAACTGGATTTATAGCTTTAAAAAGAGTTAGAATGAAGTCATTAGTCTGTCTATAATAAGTGATGAGAAAAGTAATGAATGACATGTTTTTGTTCAAATATATTTGAAACAATACGCAGCAAAATAATAAAATTAATAAAAATTAAACAATGAATTCTTAAATAGTTTGAGTTATATTTTATTGCCAGAAACAATGTAAACAATTTTAAGTTACGGCAGCAAATGTAGGACTTGCGTTTGTTTTATGTACTAAGTATTCGGATATGATATTATGTTATTTTTGTACCAGCAATACCTGTATGGATGCAATTTGAAAGGTTGTATAACTGTAGGTGTATTACTTGCGAGCTGTTTTTATAAGGATCATTTAGGCCACGTTAGAAACCTGTGATATACCATTAACTCACGAGTGCTTGCTTGTATGGTATGTATGTCTGTTCGCGGCCGACACAACGTTACTGACAGAACGCAACAATTTAAAATTTAAATTTAGAATATAATGACATTGTGTCGCGACCGCCACTAACCAAAAACGACCAGTATTTTTTAATATTGTAACCAAAAAGTTTTCTTTTTTAAGTGTGCGTTTGCGTTCCCGTGCGTGTTCCCGGACGCCGACGTTCGTTGCGTTTCAGTTACGACGGACCTATTTGTGTAATAATATTTTGTCTTCTGCCAAAACAAAAGAATGTGTCATGTAAATAGAACTACCATTATTTATTAATATAATAATTTAAAAAAGACATTGCCTTGTTTCATTTGTTATTATGTATCCTGAAGTGTGGGAAAAATAAAACGAGAACAGTTTTTTTTATATAATTTTTTTTTATTAAAATGAGCAAAAGCCCAAGTTAATGTACAAAATAGTAAAAATAAAGGTACAATTTGGAATACTCATTACTTACAAACTAAACTTGACTAACAATGTAATAATTTGTATATTTTTGTATATAACAAGTAAAATATTTCTTAAGATACGATTTTAATAACAACATAATATATCAAATTATGTAAATTTTCAAAGATTCAGTTCATTGATTTCATAGTAATATTGTTTTAGTGCAATTTTAGATCCAATCATCAGAAATGTACATATAAAATATCTCTCTGTGGTAACTAAAAATTTGTATAAATGTTTTTCATTATAAATATAAATGAAGTTATTTAGTTGTACTTAGGCATTATATTTCTTTTAGAAACTGACATTATCCACCGGCCGCCATTTTATTCTTTTCACAATAGTAACGCACGAATAAGATTATGTGTAATAGATAAAGGATATTTAAAACATACAAAAAATGTAATATTATTGCTAATATTACATTTTTTGCTTTTTGGCTATTTACTCGCGATATTTGGACGTAAAATATGCTTATATAATAACTATCGAGACTATTATTTTAATACAAACGTATTACCAGTTACATTTTGGGCCGCAGTTTAAAAAATAATAATAAAAAAAGAATAAACATAATACAGAATACTGCAAATAATAATACAATTAATTTAGAATAATTGAAAAAAAAATCACAATAACTCTGCATTGTCACATAATACTTTTGTTTATTTATAATAAAGCATATTGTCGCTAAATATTTACATTTTAATATAGAATGAATATATTACAGCAATTTTAAATTTTAATATTAATTAAATTTTTATATGTAAAAGCCCTCACCGTCATAAAAGTATTAAATCAAAAAAACTGGTATCAACAAGCCATATTAATCATAATTATTTAAAGTAACGTAATATATAATGTAATATAAGTCTACTAATCATGTAACGAAAACATATAGACAGGGTATTTTAACGAGACGCGCGGGGGAGACGCGGGTGAGCGGCACCCGACTGTCGTATACATTTTTACATGACAGTCGGGAAACGGCTTTAGGGTTGATGGGTGAAGAAAATTATTATTTTTGACAACCCTTGGATTTGCTAGCATTTACGTTAAAATTAAATGCGATCACTTACTGTATGGATTTTTACACTGGGGTAATGTGGTGGCTATAATAGGCTGGCGGAAATATGTTGAGATAACTAAATCGCAAGTCTTCTCCATTCTCGTGACATTGGTGAAGTGCTTAAATGACACAATATATTATACAAAAATAATTTTTTGTATGCTAAAATGAATAATTACACAAACGTATATAATGTATATACACGTATGTGTATAATAAAGAATATATCTTTATTATACATAATATATAAACTGTTCAAAACTAAATTGCAATTTCACAGTTTTATCAAATTCAGTTATTTGTTGTAATTTAATATTTAATATTATTTATGGATATCGATATAAAATAGGCATTTAGAAATGAACATATTACAGCAGCCACTGATGTGATCAACGTTACCTAGGGGTGCATGGCGACGATGATGTTGGCGAGCGCGGTGCGCGCGTCGCAGTAGGGGAAGGCGGGCAGCACGGCGCGCGCGCGTGAGATGTGCTGGCGGATGAGCTGCTTGGTGCGCTCGATGCCGGCGCCCGCCACCACCGCCGCGTACAGCTGGCACGGGGGAGGTTATCGATTTCAACTAGCGACTTCCCAAACGATTCCTAAGCCTCAATATTACTTGCGATAACTTACCTACCTTTAATTATGTATAATGATTAATGATAAAACTATATTTATACGTATAATAAAATTGTAACTAAGCCGAATCTGTATATTAAATATTCTTTAGAAAATCTTATTGAAATAGACTCTTATCGATACAGAAGCCGAATCTATAATTTTTAGAATTTTTGTCTGTCTGTCTGTCTTTTACCGCATTACGGAAAAACCACTGGATTTTGATGAATTTTGGTATAATGATAGCTGATTATCCGGGACCAACATATAGGAAACTTTTTACTGCGGGAAACTATCTCATTTCTGAGAAATCTATACTAAACGTTAAAACGTATAATATTGTTATCGTATTTACAGGTATTAATCTATCCAATAATTTAATTCAGTTTTTAATTTATTATCCTATTTTATTTATTTAAAGTTTTTTTTTAAGTTTTTAACTTAAAATTTATTTAAAAAAGAAATACAATTATACTATATTTAATTATGTGGATTATTTTTGTATTGCTGTTGTCATTTCTGTTAGTAATTCCAATAAATAAATGAATAGCTTCGGTCTGGTGTGTCACAGTAGCCTATGTGTTATTCCAGGTCGTAGTCTACCTGGGTACTCGTACAAATTTGTCTAATGCTTACAGCGTGAAGTATGGTAATACCCATATACAAACTTTTGTATTTATAATAGTCACGGAAGAGAAAAAACAAAGGATGTGCGACGTGACTATATTTGTATCGGGACATGTGTCGCCAAACCCATACAAAAACACCATTAAAAAAACAATGACTAATTCACATAATCATCAATAGATGGCGTAACATGTTTGGATTAGTTATGGAAGTTAAGATAAAATTAATAAAAACCATCGATCAAAAAAGTACTAAATACACAATCAACGATAATAAATGTCCTCACCGAATGAGCGCTCTTTTGACATTTGAGCGCGCTTTTAATTTAATTATCTAATGTTGATTAGCAATTATTTTTTTAAAACAATGAATTTATTACTTCCTTTTACTACAGACAATTTAATAAATACGATTAACACATTGCGTACGATCATATTGTTATAGATTTTTATTCGTACTAACTCATACGTGAATGGCAGTCAGTCATAACTAACTGGACAAAAAAAATATCTAAACAAGCGCATTCCAAGATAATATCAAACTTACCGCGTGATAGTCCACATCGTGCACACTCTTTTTGCCAGCCTCTATGTATGAATACAACTCCGGCCGGTCTTCCAAAGTGAAGGCTAAGGGTGCCCCCACGAGGGAAAAGCTAGCGGGTTCGGGTCCCGTGAAAGCTTCTAAATCTAAAAACGCTTGCCATGCAAGAGCGAGATGACAACCGAAGAGATAGCCCTGAAAAATATTAGGGAAAAAATGTTTACAAATGCTTAAATAATGAAAATAAATATGTGCGTAACTTTATACTATAAAGCGATTGGAATGATACAATCATCCAATATTTTAAAATAAGAGCATAAACTTAAAGGAAAAACGAACGTGTGAAATTTTTAACTAATTATTACTAAGATTCTAGGGATCCAGACATATAGCAATTATCATGTATGTATGAAGCGTTTTATAGCTTGAAAAATCATTAAAACTTATATAAAAACAATAAAGCAAAATTGCACTTTTTATAATTTTCCACCATCATCCGTTCGAATGTAAATCGTGCGGATTTGACCTAATGGTTGTTTCTTACACACTATTTGAAAGTAAATGTGCTTCTCAGAAATGTTAGAGATTTTCTCGTAAGGAATTCGATGGATTATCAAGAAATATGCGTAGAATAAACATTATCGGTGGGCGGGGTGCGAAATGTCAAGTAAATATTAAAACGTAACTAGCTCTTACTCCGAGCTTAGTGGAATGTTACCGAATATCCGACTTGTTAGCAGTTACTTCTAAGTTCTAGTTCACTTATATTACTATATCTAACTAAAACTTAGTAAAACTACTACTAAGATTTAGTAAAAGTTTTGAAAAGGACTCCGAGCAGTGAAATCAAAAAGATAAATAAAATCCCGTAAAAACAAAGTCCATTAAACACAAAGAGATTTTCTAATCTAAAAAAAAATCTCGGAAAAATCTCGTCATACACCAACAAAACCGTGGATCTTATAAAATCATTAGTATCTTATAACATCTATACTTATTATAAAAATAAGTCCCCCGGCCGCGTCTTTCTGTCCTCCTGTCTGTCCTCCTGTCTGTCTGTACGCGATAAACTCGAAAACTACTGAACGGATTTTTATACGGTTTTCAACAATAGAAAGAGTAATTCTTGAGGAAGGTTTAGGTATATAATTTATTATGCTTTTATGTAAATTAGCTGAAATACGGCGACAAATGTTGAAGAGGTCGCAAAAAATCTCGCCAAATGGGAACTTTCCACGCGAACGCCGCGTAAACTAGCAAAGATACAGTTAAGTAATGTACTAGAGAATTCAAAATCTATAAAAATGCTACAAAAAAGTCCGCGATAGCATATCTCTATCTCTTACGGTTGACTTACAATAACCACTTTTATGTTAACATTTTTAATTAAAAACATTACGTTATTTTCAAAGTTATTTTCTTTAGTTCGGTATTAATCCTTATCCAAATGAATATTTTAGTTAGCTTAGTCATTTAATGCAGATTAAAATTGCTCTTTACACTAAATCAATCAGATGAATAGTTTTTGAGATATCGTTGTTAGAAGTAATTAGTAGCGAAACATTTTTAATGCTTGGCGAGCATTGAGATGCCTACGGCGAGTCCATCCCCTCTGCCCCGCATCGCTCGACCGCCTGCTCAAGCTATATAAACCGGGCGATGTAGCGCGCGATCCTAGGATACTTTTTACCGCGGGAAAATATCTTATTTCTGAGGAAAAATACAAAAACTGCAATGTAAGAGTATACTAATATGTAACACCTAAGAATTTAGTTTTTGGTCATCTGAACGCGGGCGGAGCCGCGGGCAATGCTAGTACATAATAATTTCAAGTTACTTATGTTTATACAAAAAAGGACATCTTTTACGCACTTACCTGAGTTTGCAAAGCAGGTTTATGTCCAGCGAGCTTTAAAGCTGCAGAACAGCTTTTTCCCAACAAGGCCCCAGCAGCTAGCACGTGTCGCGCCGCCCATTCCCTCTGCGCACACCCTGCTACACCCTTCATTGGTAAAGGTGCTAGGATACAATCCCACTCTATAATTGAAAAACAAATATATTAAAATTTGCTTTAACATTTGTGACAATGGATTCGTAAAGTTTTTACCAACTTTAATATACTTTTTAATGCTTTTATTAGGTTCACTTGTATCTAAATATATATGTAAACAAAAAACCAACTTCTAATTTTATTAGGTATCATTTGAAACTTTGCAAATGTACATTCGTAATACCTACCACAATAAACTAAATTTGTTGAACTCGAGCTGGTCGAATGATGAAATAGGTGAATAATTTTGGAACTCTTCAATGCCTTAATTCTTCAATCCCACTAACAAGAAATCTTTAAGGGGGTATACAATTTTTGATTAGAAAAACCTACATATTCTAAATCTAGACATTTTTATAATAAATAATTAATGACAAAGGCGAGATCAGAATATTCTTTCTTCAATTTGACCTTACAAATACTTTTAACTTTTGTTCTAAGTGTTCACGATTGCCAAGAATTCTGCAATATGCAATAAATAGTACGAGTTGTAATGTTAATTCACAAGCTCAGATGTACACACTATGTACCTGTTCGACCAGTTTACTATTTGTAAATTACTATACCAAATATCAAATCAATATTCCTAAAAATAGACGGTCATAACTGATCATATTATGAAATAATTATATATAAATACGCAATATGAATGAAATGGAATCTTTATTAGTCTTCGGTATAAAAAATTAAGCAGGCTATATTATATAATTTAGAATCAAGTTATTTAATATAAAGATTAGTGTGTAATAGATACATAATCTATGAATAAAATTTCGCAGAAGCGAAAATATTGAGGGCACTGTGACAGTTTAGAAGGCCGTTGCTTTTTACCGGTACCGTTTCGCCAGCGAAAACAAGTCCTTTTTGATCTTGAAAAAAACACGTAGTAATAGAATCTATGGTACGGTACCTAATGGCCATTAAAAGTAATGTAGATAATCTAGCTAGAGTAAGCCAAAATAGTTGTTTTCTACCGCAAATGTAAGCATTTTAATCTATACATATAATAAAATTATAACTGAGTTGAAAGTTTTAATTTTTTTTTAATCTTATTGAAATAGTCATTATTACAGAGGTCGAATCTATAGTTTTTAGAATTTTTGTCTGTCTGTCTGTCCGTGACCGCGTCATGACAAAACCACTGCACAGATTTTGATGAAATTCGGTATGATGATAGCTGGTTATACGGGTCAACATATAGGATAATTTTTTACTGCGGAAAAATATCTTACAACATAAGTACGGACGAACTCGAGCAGAGCGAGGGTGAGTCGCTAGTATTCTATATCTATATCTTATTATTTATGTACATTTTTATTACTGAAGCCATATGTTGTGTTAAATTATTATAAAACTGTCCCACTTTCGATTATTTAGTTTATTACACACAGTTGACACAAAGGACCTGGAAATCACAGGGTCAGTAACTCTATATGTGACCTTTTAAAAATTAATCCATATCTTATGTATTCGTAAGTATATTTCATAATTCAATTTCCAATAGACCTATAAAGAAGTAAGTTAAATCTTAAAATTGTGCTGTCATAGATACATTAATGTATCGGCCACTCCTAACTGATATGAATTCAAATCACACGCGCGTCGCTTGCGCATGTCAGTATTCAGACACAATAGTTTAAAGAAAATTAAGGCTATCGAAATCGTACTAATAAAGAATGTAAATCTCACATTTTTTACATGGCTTAAGTATTTGTACTAAAAATTCTAACTTACTTATTCAATTAGAAAAAATACTTTTTAAGTAAAAAACGATCAACTCACTAAATATATTTCTTAAATATAAACCTTAGGGTACAATAACATATTATTTTTTTAATTAGTATAAATTAAATAAATAGATCTTCTATAACAAGCGCATAAAACAAGATGTAAAACCAAATTGAATAAATGCACTCAGCTTTTCAAAGTTGGCAACAGCAATCAAATTTAAAAATTAAAATTATTCCATTCACAAACTTAACATATTCTTCACATTACGCCTGGTGTAAGTACAAAATTGTACAACTAGCTAAAATGCATCTGCATAAATAGAAACTAACACGTTCCGGTCCTATAAATATCCATATTAGTGTAATTTTATATCGAAAGCGAGACTCTGTGTATCATGTTTTACTTGATTCCGCAATTTTTTTTTTAAATCCTTGGTTTTTCTCATCTTTCCTTTCTGCTTTACTATCAAGGAAAAAGTTCAACTGTACTTATGTACTTATATACATATTTTTTTTTGGGAAAAGTATTTAGTATTTCTATCAGCTTTAATAGCGCATCAATTGATGTATTTCAATAAAACTCTCCAAGTTAATAGCTATTTAGATAGGCTGAATTAAATAAATAAAAAAAATAGCTAAATTTTCCTAAGTATAAAGAAAGTTATCTTATTGAGTTCAAAACGGGAAAATAGTTATAATCAAATCAAAAATCAATGAACACCTGCAATTGTAGAAAGTTGCAGTTCTATCGTTAAAATTAATGACTGAGAGATATCACTTTTTTACTAGGTTATGTATTCATTAAATGTTTCTTGAACTAACATTTCTTAATATTAACAGTATATCTCTAAAATATTCTTAGGTATTATTATCTTAAATAGTTGCATGAATTTTACTTATAAACAAGAAGTAAATGTATGAATAATTAACATAAACACAATATATTAATGAATTAATCTTAAGACATGACATGACATGTTAGCATTCTTGACGGATGTGAGCACGTCTCATTAATTCCAATGCAAATAAGATTAGAGTTAACCTATTTGCTCAGATATGCAAACATGGCTAGGCAGTTTACTTCAATATTTATTTATAGTCTAAGATCCACCTATGAACTATGTACCAATGGTGAAATTGTGCCTAAATTGGCGTAAATGTATTTAGTTCGTAATATATTGAGAATTTTATCACTTACTACACACATATAACTATGTAGTATGTAGTTATAATACACTTATTAATATTTATTTTACAACTCCATACTTTGTAACATTTATGATAAATCATCCCTTTTATGCTCTTTAGTGAGTCTTCGATTTATATATAAACATTCTAAGTACCTGATTTTAAATAGAATGCTTTAGAGTACTTAAAAGAAGTGAAAACTAAATTAAGTATACTTTTAAGAATATTGCAATGCATCGAGCATTATACGGAAACTTACCAGATGCGGTCTCTCTTTGGTCTTCTGGCAATGGTCGCGAAGGCAAAGGGTTGTTTTGTTCGTCGCGGTCCCCAAGAAATTCTGCTTCGGCTAGATCTCGTACTGCTGATGACATCAGTTCGACTAGCTCTTGATTCCTATTAGTTGTAAAAAAAAATCTTAGTTTTTTGGTTTCGTAACATTTTATTTAGGTTTACAATTTCAACTGCAGATCAGAGACATAAGGGAAAGAGAAATCATAATATTTAAAGCTTTATTTACTTCGTAGTTCTTGTGACCTGTGAAATGAACACAAATAGGTACTCTCTGTTTGCTTCGACATCAAATTAACCTCAAAAGTAACTTGGGCATTATAAATACGAGTATAGGTAAATATTTTCTTTAAAACGCATAAGTTTATCTGTTTTTTTTAAGTACCAAATTTAAAATATTTATTATTTTTAGATTATTAGTTTTAAATGTATTTGAGCAATATTGCGGTAAAAATATACTTTATTAACATTCAAAAACAATAATCGTTAACATTCGTGATTACTAGTTACCCTAAATAAATCTAATCAGTTAAAACATTAAAAACTATATAAAAGAAATGTTTTTACTGAAATAGAATATTTACATATAATTTCTATATAATTTTGAGCAATATAAATAATTTTCCTATAAAAATGTACTAATGAATTATATTTATGTTCATAAATGATGGTCATAGAAAATTAGGACGACTAAGGTGTTACCACGGCAACACCAAAAACAACTTTTTTTACAAGCTTTTATTTAACTTGCAATGTTTGTATGAATGTTTGTTCGGATCAAATCTTAAACAACTGAATTTTAAAGCGGTTATCCTCGGTTGAGGATCAATCGCTTGATTGAGCTGAAATTTTCCATACACGTTTAGTTTGGATGTCAATGCATGGTGAGATAAGTGACGTTATTATAAATTCAACATGGCGGACTCCCAACGATGGCGGACTATGTTTTTTATGTTACCCCATGATATGGCTATCAAATGAAAGGGTTTGCTGAGAAGAATACGAATAAATAGCTAAAAAATAAACTTTAAATTAAATCAACCTCATTTACTATAAAATTTATATGACATAAAAGCTTGTTTTTAAACATATATTTTTAATAATAATTTATTTATATGTAAGCGTCTATATCATAAAATTACATCAATATTAAAATTGAAAGTATCTTTGGCTTGATCGGTGATTCACCCAAAATCGTAGCTTGTCACACAAGATACAAGACCAGTTTATATTCAATATAAAGATAATTTCGTCATAATAAATGAATGACCGGTAAGATGGTCAAAGCAGGAGACACACTGAGAGCAAAACTTGAAAAGAATATTAATATATTCTAATGAATGTCTCAACCGATTCTATATTTAACTACGAACTCCTTCAAAGTCCATTCATGTTTCTTTATAGTTTGAATTCTGCCTTACAAAGTTACTTTGCTTTTTAATAGTTAAATGAGGCTACCACAATTTATTAAGTTTTATAATTAGATACAAGAAGCCGCATTCTTCTTATTTTGTTATATATCTAATTTGACTCTTAGTTACCTACCTACAAGACAAATAAAAATTTTCGTATACCCTCGATAATTTCTTTTAAAACTGCCTGTGTGCATTTAGCTGTAAACCTTCCTCTATCATAGCACTCTCTCGTATTTAGCTTTTAAAGATTACTTCTACTACTCAGAACTACTCAGGAAATGCATCTCCTCTATGTTATAAGTAGTTACCTATACTTTTTATTTCATGCTCAAGTTTTAGGTACGTTTTAAATAGATATAAAGAGTTATTAGCAAGCCTTAGTCATATACATTTTAATTTTGTGTTCCGTTAATTTTTCTGATGTTTTAATACTTATTATTCTATTCTTAAATAAGTATTCTTATATTTTGTAATTCTCCGCGCAATTTTTTAAATATTTTTTTTCATAAGAACCTTCTCCTGACAATAACAAACAACAAAAAAATTTGTTAAAGCGGTCCAGCCGTTCACGCGTGATGGCGTGACCAAGGGAAATAGAGATTCATTTTTATATATATACCTATAGATTATGAAACACTATATGTATATATTTAAAACAATGAAATGAAATGTCAACACAACTTGCAAATAAAACATACCTGACGTTAATCGGATTTTTATTGATTTTAAGTCTACGTCGATGTACCATATATGCTGCTGTAAGATGTAATAAATAAATTAATAAAAAAAACTCGCTGCCATTAAAATGATTAATTAACAGCACGAGTACAATAAGCGGAAATATCAAGAGTTTCTTTTAAGCAAAGTAAACTTAGCGGGGGTGGGGAAAGTAGCGCGTTTGAAGACCGGTCTGCCCATAGTGAACTTATATGTGAAAGAGGACGAGTTTTCTTTGAAGAAAATAGTATGGTTCATATAATATATTCAATTTGGCTAAGTTTTCAAGTAAAAATATACAGCGGCATTTGAAAACCGATTTAAAAAAAAAGCTTTGTTTACATAATAACATAAGCTCATATGAGGTTAGGTTGAGTAGTTTCATTGAGTTTTAGTCGCCTACGAAAATATAATACGTACAGATTGCAAACAGCAAAACAACTATATGTCAATAGGCCAGTGGCCTCATGTTTTCGATGTAATTCACAAGCCACAACTTGCAAAACAAGTTATTGGCACATTAAAACGCTAGTCGCTACTATTGCGTACTATTGACCTCCAGACCGTTAATACCGTTAGAAAAATCAAATTGTGCTTACAGATGAGTTCAAAAAGCATATATGGGAAACATTCTATTTTAACTTATATTATTGTCGGTTATATGAATACCTACAAAGTTATTGGGGTCAACACGAGTACATAGTATATTTAAAACTATTGTAGAGCATGTATAACAGTTAAAAAGCCGAAGTAGGTATGTAATAAAAAATGGAAGAGTGTAAATTAAAAGTGAAAGTGAAAATCAGTTTTAAGTACCAACGGACCATTCATTATATAATCCCTTAAAATATAGGTATTTAAAATGACAAAATAATATTTTTATTTCAATAAAATTAACCATTTACCTCCGAGAAGTAAATATGATCAAGAAATTTTTATTAAATCATAATTAAAAATATATAAATCACTCACTGTCAGGTTTAAAATATGGTTTTAAAAAAAAATTTTAAATAAATAATTTTTTTCAAAAAAAATGTAATTGATGATAAAAAAAATATTACAATTATTATAGTATTTAGGAAAGCTCCATTGAAATAGTGTCTGTGACCCAGACATTCCTATATCATATGCAATATCAATATTCTCCTCGAGTAGAAACGAAACCTGTGATCACAAGTATCAAAAAAACAAAAAGTAAATTTATTTGTAACCGTACAATATAGTTCAATATCTAAAATATTACATATGTATATACATATGTATATAACTATCAAAGCAACAATAACATAATACATACTTCTAAATATATCATGAAATAAAATTTATTTATACTATTCATGTTTTAATTATGTTATGTACGAGTATATATAATATATTACATATATGTTAGTTCTTACCCCTTCCCACTAGTTTACTATTTCCTATACCTAAGGCAAAAGAAGTCGCTTCTGGGCCAAAGAATGTTGATTCATTGAAGCCGATTCATAGATAAGGCTGCCTCTAGTATATTTTCCAACTACTTTGTATATATTCTCTTTTGTACAATTAGGAGTTATTATTATTATAAAAGAAAATAATGGAAAACAGATGAAAATTGTACAGATTAAGTAAAAACAGAACTCTAATAACTTTCCAATACCTAATTAAATGAAGAAATGTGAGCATGAGAAAGTAGTTAATATTATTTTCTACAAAAATGGTATACTAGCTATTTTAGGGTTCCGTACCCGAAGGGTGCCAACAGAATTGTATTACTAAATAAATAAAAATAAATAAATATATGTTGGGACAGCACCATCTAGTTTCATGGTAAGCTACGAGGCTTGTGTTATGGATTACCAGATAGTCGATACACTATACATATATAACTTTAAATACATAGTACATATTATAAATATAAATACCCATGACTGACCTAAGTCTCCAATGTCCGTCCGTCTGTCTGTCAGCGGGCTGTATCGTATGAACCGTAATAGGTAGAGTTTTTTGAGTTTTTGATTTTTCACAGTGTATCTATTGCCGCTTTAACTACAAATAATAAATAGCACCTCTCTTGTTTATTTTACAAAAGTATTTGAAAAGTACAGTGTTATATCTTGTACGATAGTATTTCTATACTCGCACTCGAACCATTCGAGTCCGACTCGTACTTGACCGGTTTTATCTTTGATATCTTTAAATTATTTTAAGTTACAGAAAATAACTGTAAATTATTATTTCTCTCCTTAACTCAAAGCAATTTCCTTTAAGTAGATTGAGAGAATCTAGTACGAGTAACATCGCTTTTTGCGTTTCCTGCCTATAACACTGTTTGTTGGACGGGGAATCCCCATAGCGCACTGCAACTAGGGACAAAATACAATATGCATTCAATCGAGAATCTCTGGCGTACCGCGCCACGACATAAATATATATGTATATACATATACAGTTAAAAATAATTAACATAGTAGTAAATAAGAATTAATTTGAATAAACGTAACATAGTAAAAGTGTTACATAACCTAATTTGATTTTTTATTGCGGTTCTTGATTAAAAATAACTCGCTGTAATTTCCTTGATTTTTTTATGAAGTGGAACATAGCAATGATATAATATATACACACCTACTTAGATTAAGGAAGTAAAATGTAAACTACGGTTATAGTGCTGCAATACTGTATCGAAACTAGGATAGGAAAACTCCAAAACTTACATTTTTTCATATAAAATACATAACGGCAACCAAAAATTAATTTGATAGGAATAATATACTAGGCAAAGTTACGCCTGAACACTGCCATTCACCCATAATATATGAATCTATTAAGATCTAAATTATGATTCTGTTAAGACCCAAAATGACTAATAAGTAATAACAACACACAGAAAGCGCTCAATAATGTTAACTGTACTTTCACCTTCTAGCCAAATATCGCAAGTTCTATTTCCGCTCTTGATTTAGAACACATTGTATTGTTAAGGACACCTGAATATACGGTAAATACTGTGTTATACAGAATACCTAAATTATACTTTCTTCTCCACTGTATAGTAACCAATTATTTATACTTTCTGTACATTTTATATTATATTATATATATATATATATATATATATATATATATATATATATATATATATATATATATATATATATAGATGTCTAATTATTAGGTATATATAATATAAAACATGTATGTATGTCTCTGATTACATTATGCTTTGTTCTTACTGTATCGTATTCTCTTATTTTTAGTTACTTTTAAAGAATTTAGCTGATAATATTATTTTATTGCGATGTACGTCGTACATTCTGTTTATATACAGAGATGTGAGACAATAAAATACATCCCAATTAGTCACAGTCCGTCATTGGCCATACATTTACGTATACTTTACCAAATTTGTTCTTCCGCAATATTGAGTAGAATCTTAATTTTAAAATAACCTCGACCATAAAAGCGGTTTAACCGTTCAGGTTTTGACCGCTTCTTTCATACTTCAATACGTGCTTTATCATTATGATGCATTGTTCACATACTTACTAAATATATACATACATATAAACAAGCGAGCTTTTAAGCTTTCACATAGAATAACAGAGTTAAAAATGAAAAATTTAGAATGTTTACAATATAAAAATACTAATGACTCACGCCCGCTCCGCTCGAGTTAGTCCTAGTGAAAGTTTAGGTTTGTATGTACTTTTTAATGCCGAATCATAAAAAAATGTTGTCCAAAAAAATTTAAAAAAAATTTCTTAGGGGTATGGAAAATAGTTTACGTCCTATTCTCAGACCTACTGAATATTCACACAAAATTTCATAAGAATCGGTCAAGCCGTTTCGGAGGAGTTTTGTTACAAACACTGTGACGCAAGAATTTTTATATATTAGATAAAAAGAAACTAGAAAGAGTATATTGGAAACTTAACAATTAAAGTGAAGAATAACACAGTTAATTAATCGCAAGTGGCACAGACCGCAACCTGCAACCTTTCACTTAAGACACGTACACTCCGCTAGCATACGTAACTGTCATATGAAGGGCTCTCTATCATTGACACACCCCAAACCGATTTTTCGGAATTTATGAAATAATTGCCAATCAAATAGCAGCTATAGTGCAATTATACGACAAGATGTATGTCAGCCTTTCAGAAAATAATACGTAATTATAGTACAAAGAGGAAATTAAAGTCATTACCATTAAGACGTCCTAGAAAAATTATACAAAAGAACTATTGATTTGTTATTTAATATATTATTTTTCACATAAAAAATAAGTTTGACTATTTTTTTGTAATAGTAAAAAAATCAGAAATATGAAAAAAGAATTTAGATACAGCGTAAAAACAAAGACAATGAGAAAAATGTACTCTATAAAACCGTAAACAAAATTGCATGATGTATCCAGCATCATTTATAATATAAAATATATACTTAGGTAGCCAATGTGCATGTTGCATTTCTAACATATTAAAATACGAATGGAATACCCAGGCCCGGAACATCGTATAAATATTAAACAACCGGCCGTGACTTCGCCGTTAAATGGAAGAGCACACGGATGTTACATGCTTCAAGTCATGCAGATAACTTTCACTTATATTATATTGTCTATACTGGTCGTATAGAGAAACAGGAAAAATCGAGTGATTCTTTCTAAAGGTCAAAGATGAAAAAGTATGAAGATAAAGAATAGTAAAGAGTGACCATGATAACTGTAAAGTATTGGAAACGTCGGGAACCAAAAATCAAAATAAATCTGCGAAAAATTCCAATAAATCAGTTTTATTTAAAATGTCAAATAATAGAGTAAATCTAAGTATTATGCACCCCGCGTATTCTAACCCCTCCTATATCCTAAGTTCAAATACCTAGGCTTCCTATCGCAAGCAAATAAATATTAAGACCCTGTTCTTTGCAACAAGTTGAAACTTAAAACAACTAAAAACAACATAAGAATCACTTTTACATCAATACTAGCTTATAATAAAACTACTCTAAAGAAATCTATATACTAATATTATAAAGAGACAGAGTTTGTTTGTTAGTTGTTAATTTATAAATTAAATATTATGTTCTTAAAAAACCAGCGTTCAGGAAACAGCAAAAGCAAAGAATTTTAATTGGTTCTCTTTTATAATTAACTTCTAGTTAATAGTTATACAAGATAACACATATACTTATTAGCGTTTTAAATGATTTCGTATTAGTGTTATTTAAATCTTGATGTATAGTGTATTTTTATTTTTTACATTAGTAAGTGTGATAAGAATTAAAAAAAGCTTTAGTAATGTAATATTTTATATTTATTAGAATAAATAATTTATTTTTCAAAAGGGTATGTCTGTCTGTCATTTGCTATTTTTTATTAATCAATACATATAATAAACTTCTGAGTCGAATCTGTATCTTAAATATTTTTTGGAAAATCTTATTGAATTAGTCATTATTATCGATACAGAGGCCAAATCTATAGACTATAGTTTTAGAATTTTTGTCTGTCTGTCTGTCTATCTGATGTCTGTGAAATTTGGTATGATGATAGCTGGTTATCCAGGTCAACATATAGGTTACCTTTTACTGCGGGAAAATATCTCATCTCTGAGAAATCTATACTAAAAGTTAAAACGTAACTAGGGAAGAACCCGAGCGGAGCGAGGGTGAGTCGCTAGTCTATTATAAAAATATTAAAAACTAGAGACATACATACCTTCGTTTCACTCGGGTGCGTCTCCCGGTACTTACTCACGTTTTAAATAGATAAAAATAGTTATTGTGAGTGTACCTTAGGACATAGACACATGCTATGGCGGACTTTTCTGTTGGCTTTTTCAAGGCCTACAATTTTATAGTACATTGTTTTGATGTATATCTAAAAGTTTAGCCAACATTAGGCGTGTTGTTGTCAAAACATCGTCATAGTTCAGCTATTTTGTACAAATTAAATACACAAACCTTACTCGTGTATCGCTCTTTCTATTTGTAAAAACTATCAAAATCCGTTGTATGGTTCTAAACCACAGGTAAATCCCAACAGCGACTTTGTTTTATACGAGTACTACGTAGTATGTATAGAATGTGGGTAGGAATGATTGGAATGAATGACTAACGTCGAACTAAATTTTGCGTTTTCCCATAAAAATGAGAGATTTTACCGCGCAGAATTTTGTTAAATGTGTTAATTTTTAACCTAGCTATCAATATTTTTTAAATTTTGTGTAATAAATCATTATTTTTATACACATTAACTAATGTGTTTTCCCGTGGGAATAAGAGATTTCCCTGTAATAAATGGTATATTAAATGTTAATCACAGTAATAGGTTATCGCTACACAAAATATAGTTAAAATCCGTTCAGTACTTTTTGCGTGAAAATCACAATATATACAGACAAACATACTTTATATTACTAAATTAAAAATATTTAGTTACATTGTGTGTTCTTTGCTTGACAAAAATACTATAATTCAAGGCAGTTTTGTTACTGCAATCATTTATGTTACGCTTTGTGCTTTTACTGCGATTCAATATACAGTATATTGGATACCTAGTAATTACCGAGTACGTACAAAATATCCCATTTTAGTAATTTAATAATATTAATGACTTTAACGATATATGTAAGTATAAAAATTAATAGTTTATACGACTTATTAAAAAGTTGCTTAAATGATATATAAACACTTTTCAATTAAAATTACATAAAAAAATATTACTGTGATTACTATAACACAAAAATATTAAATGATTTGATTAGCTAACGAAAAAATTTGCATTAACAAGCATATCAAACTTTTTACATAATATCTATAATAAAATACATTTCAATAAATCAAAAGTTGAACAACCTGTCCAAAAAAACTTACCTCAAGTTAGCGAGTTCCGAACAGGAGTTAGCGAGTAGATAATCGCCACTAAGTAGAGCGATTTTGTTCCCAAACATCATGTCGTCAGGTTCCCCGGCGACCACTTGCCGAGCGTTCATGTTGACCAGGCCTTTGTGTACCAGATGCGAGGTACGTATCATTTCTGTGACCTCAGCAAGCGCTCGTTGACTAAGGAGATAAATGTCATATCTTATTTGGATATTATTGATGTTAAAATAAATTTTGTATATTATATCAATTCAATTCTTATGTTCAATGGCGCCTAGAAGTGCCGTTTAGGCACCATTTACTTCGCCAATGTCGCATAGAGTGGAAAATATAAGTTATATATAGAATGACCGGTATAAAAGAGAAAAAAAACTATAAATCTGATTATATGTAGAAAGTAGAAACGGAGCAATTTGTTGTAAATTCGCTTCAACACAACACAATATATACAAAAACTGTAAGAGAAGAATTAATAATTGCTAGAACTAATACTTACATTTTTTAAATATTATATCTACATTTCCATTACTTTTAATGTATGCTACACAGAAATTTATATAATGGACTAAACACAAAAAACAAGAAACTGCAATGCAAAAAGCTGCACACCCGGAGGTCCAAGTTTAGTTATTGAGTCTTTCTGTATAGTAAGCCTCAATAACAGCCCGGAGTTAGGAAGATGGCGGTGTTTCACCCCCGTGCCTCGGAGAGCACGTAAAGCCGTCGGTCCTGCGCCTTAACTCTCACCGGTCGTGTCGAGTGGTCGTCCCACCAGAGTATCGAGACCCACGAGAGTGACAGGAATAAAGAGTGCACGTTGTGTCTGCGCGTACACTTATGCACTATAACATATCCTGCGCAGTTGGCTAGTCTCAATGAGATTGGCCGCCGTGGCCGGAATCGGTCAGGAGAACATCATCATTACCCAACGTTCCGTCTGTTTTCAATAAAAAACCAGGGGCGTCTTGGAATCTCTAGCTGAATTGCAGCCTAATTACCTTTAAAAGATTTTGATAAGTCCCAGTTATTTTTATAGGATTTATCTAAGCGGGATTTAGCAATAGAAAGAAGATCATCCGCTGAGTATAAAATACCATTGAATGATTTTATATAATTTAGCAAATATTCTTCGCAAATAAAAATTTTTACATTCAATATTTGCTAACCACTAAACCACAGGACACTAAAAAGTCTTTTATTTTTATTATACGAGTATAACCCATGATAATATTTCAGGCTGGAAAAATATTACTGAAATAAAAAATAGGCTCTCTTACTTTTGGATTATGTAACATTCCAATGGCGAAAACATTATTAAAATCTGTTTAGTAAAAGTTTATCTAGTACAAAGAAGCAAACAAATAAATCTTTCCTCCTTATAGTATTAGTGTAATATTATGTAAATTAACCTGTGCAAAACTCCAGCTGCTTTGTCTTGCTCCATGTCGGGGATCTCCGGGCTATGCCCCGCTGCCTTCGACACCAATAAAACAATGAGACCCCACGCTTGCATGTTATTTTTTCCATTGTAAATTAGATTTCTAAAATAATAAATGTATGTTAAGTAAATAAATTTAGCTTTCTGACTATTCGAATTTAATAATACCCAATGTGTGTTCTTATGACAAATGAGAAAGTATAAAAACTTCGGAGTTTGATAAATGGAAATTAGAATGCACTTTTGAAATTATGAGACACTAGCGACTCACCCGCGATTCGCTCGGGTTCGCCGTTAGAAAAATAAAAACAAATCTATCCCACGGCAACAGTACATTTTTCCATAATAAAAAGTAGCTTATGTGCTATTCCAGACTATATCTATATATATTTATCTTTGTGCCAAATTTCAACCATATCTGTTCTGGCGTAATTGAGTAACAAACATGCATCCAAACATCTAAACTTTCACATTTATAATATTAGTAAGATTAAATTAAAAAAATGAATTTACTACATAGATAAATATTTACTCCTAAAAATTAATTGAATTTAAAATTTTACTGAACGGAAAATCCAATAAGAATAGTAGTTTGAGGAAAAAGAGGAGAAAGATTCTGTGAAATTTAGTACTCAGTATAAAAAAAAAAAACATCTATGTAATAGCTATTTCAAACGGTTTTACAATTTTAGATCTTTAAAAATATTATATATAAATTAACTCTACGATTTTTCACGTACAAATGATATTTTGAATTAAAGATGAGTCCTTTACAGTGCTAAAGTAGCTGCTCTATCTGAATACAACTAGCCGATTACTTGCAGTGACACGCGATAATGCAAAATGAATAATTATTAGTATTACGAGAGATTACGTGAAGAAACCAATAACCATGTAACAAATCTATTTTTAGCTAGGAAAATAATTTACCATTTTTTTTTATTTAGAAAAAAATATTTTAATTAATATAAAAATTTTATTTAATATTTATATTCTTTGTTACTTTCGTTTCATAAAATAAAATTTATAAAATAGTCATAACATTTGATGTCTTTTTTTTTGTAAATATTTATTTTGTTAACAAACGAAATTGTTTATATTTTAATCTAGATTTATTTCAAATATATCTTTTTATTTAACTTATACTGGTTTTAATGAACTATATCTTATATTTTCTTCGCGTTTTTTTACATATTTAAGTGATATCTTTATATAGCAATTTAAATCAAATTATAGAAAAATACTAACTTCGCGGTTTTAAGTAATGGATGATTACTTCCAACAAGCTTTCGCAAGTGTAGAGCAACGTTGGCTATTTCATCACTTAGCACCCATCTTAAGCTGAGGAAAGAGGTTGGGTAACCAACGATCTTCTCGGCCTCGCTCACTGCCCTGTTCCAGTCTGGTTTCGTGTTTTGTTGTGCAACAGCTCGTCGAGTGTCACTAGTACTAACTTCCCGTCTAGTACAAGGTCCCCATAGCTTCGCAACTAGGGCGCCAGATGGACTAACTTTCACTAAATCATATCTCACTGCAGCCCTCAATCTACTCAAACTCATTTTTGCACAAATAATTCAATTATTTAAAAAATGCGCAACTCTCAAATTTAATTTTAATAATTTAAATGTTTCAAAAAAGTAGAATCAAAATGGACATAACAGAGAAATGTAGGTACGTTATATATTCGCAATAGTAGCTTTAAATAAACCGGGTAATTGTAACTAAAATCGAAATGTTTCTGCGAAGTTTAAATAAATGTTTCGTAAAACACTAAGCGCGCCACATTACAAACGTTCAACCTTTGCCGCTAAAATACTTAACTGATGCGGATTGGCTGATTTCACAGTTAAGGTTGACGTCATGTATAGATTACAGAATGAAAATAAATGAATGAACTACGAAATACGTAAGATTAGGGCGCGTGTATACTAGAAACCTATTTAGTAGCAAAGTAAAAAAATATTAATATTATTTACGTGCATTATGTTTTTTAAAAAATAAGTCATTTTCTTTATAACTTTTATTTCTTTTATGTTATAAAAAGATTTATTTATAAGTAAATATTTTTATTATATAGCAACACCGTTATTGAACAACAACCAATCACAAACCTTAATACGATCATTCATTCGTTTGGTGGTTTTTCCATTCGATAACGAAAAATCAATTCGTTCTTGACTCATTCGAGATTCAACAATCACAATTCAAATGTCATATCAGTCAATCGTGAAATTCCGGCCTTTGTAGTCAGCCGTAAGGGGTTACTACAAATTGCCGGCTTTTTAAGTGTCTCAAGTTTTTTAAATCTTTCTTGGAACTTTTGTTTTTCTGACTTACTACAGATTTGGTCTGTGAAAGTGCAAACTTTACGGAGTGCATTTCGCAACCACTTTCATTCTACTATCGAACTTATTTTGAGGTATGTTAGCAGCACTTCACAACAATTTATTTCTTTTTGATCCGAAAGGACTGTCCACGTGTAGTGCATACGTGTTTCAAAGTCGATGTTAAATGTTAAGTTTATATATCATGCTTTTTTTTTAAATATAATTTTTAAACAAATAATTACCGTCATACCGAGGTGTACAGGTCCCCGAAGGAATGTTACGTACACTTGTTATTGTTTCAATAGAAACTGCGCAGTTTGAGCTATTGCATAGATAAATAGTAAAATACATGGACATTCAGGTACTTCTAACATGTTTAAAAAATGCTTTGAACAAAAATACTTAATAAGGAAGTCGACTACATAAAATATGTTCATAATATAATATACCATTTAATGTAGATCTTAGATATACAATATTCATCATAATTTAATAAAAATACAAATTCTTGCTTTTATATGCTCATATTTAAACACTGTTTACTAAAATCATTAAACATCAACTATCAAGTTTCAAGAACACAATCTTGAACCATGATAACACTATAGGTATATTAATAGTAAATTATAGGTCAAGGTAAAATTTGTGGCTTAGTATACCTATTTTCTTTGATGAATATTTAATATTTACATAGTAAGGGAACTATTTTTCTATTCTATGGTTCTATCTAATGGAGGCTACATTGGCAGACAGTAATTATAGCAATTGAGATATAACTGCAATCAAATCCTTAAAAATGGCTTTCACTTTATTAATATTTTTAGTGCCAAAATTTTATTGAATGTGCACTAAAGATACAACCTGGTTTTTGCTTAAATAAATGATCTCAATTCTCAACATAACAAGGGTTGACAGTGGCTGTAAAATTAACTCTGGGAAGATGTATTAGCCAGACTTTTGAGTAATAATTTGATAATGCAAAATATATCTTTTACAATGTTTCTTGTAACTGAGCCGAATCTGAACATAATATATTTTTAAATGTTATTAAAATAATCATTATAATCGATACAGTGGCTGAATCTATAGTTTTTATCTATAGTCTATCTGTCTGCCTGAGAACCGACAACCACTGGATAGATTTGGATGAAATTTAGTATGATGATAGCTGGTTATCTGGGTCAACATATAGGATACCTACTTTTTATTGCAGGAAAATATCTCAACTCTGAGAAATCTATACCAACTGTTAAAACTTAAAACATACCTAGTTTAAAAAAAAACAATAAATTTTTATTATATTGAATATTGATCACTATAGCCAGGTCATAGTATGTGTACTAAATTTCATTCAAATTCACCAAGCCGTTTAAATGGGAAGGAGTAACAAAGGTACACACTTATACAAACTTTTACATAATATGTAATAGTAGTTTGATTACATATCTGAGTGTAGTCTTACATTGATCTCAAATCCCACTTTAATCCCAGAATTGAACTTGAAACTTATAGCAAAGTAGATGTAGCTTTATTTTTTTATTAAAATTAACACATAAAATTAGCAGTATTAGTATTTCCGAGTATTATATAAATACATTATTTAAACGAAAGTCCTGATTTAACTTTATTTGTGTCTTTAAGTGTAAAGCTAGTCAAAAACAGAGATATTTTATTAATACTTCTATATAACCTTGGAGTCACCTTGAAATGGTTTAGTCAAGATTGGTCAAAATTAGTAAGAATTGACAAAAGTACTTTAATCCCTAATATTTTATATCATGCATGCATTTAGCATGCATGTTTAATGAAATAAATTTTAGATATCTCATTTGTCTTTGGCCTGACACTGCCCTAATGTCTGAGGAGTCCGGAGGCTCTGTCAAACCACTACAAGAGCTCTGCAGTTAAACTATAAAATTGAATGTGAATACTTGCCAAATGATAGATCTGACAAAAAACAAAAACAAGCTAAAAATAAAAATTAAAAACATGTTGATGGCTCATTAAATGGGAATGTTACAATGGAAAATTATGGTGTTTTATTAATTACATTATTATATTGTGGAACTATTACCTGTGCAGTGGACAATGGTTTCTGTAAAAAGAATAGATAACAGCAGGTTTGGTTTATTTGACGACTCCATAAATTACTGAGCATTTTAAAAGGATATCCTTCACCATAAAAGCTTAAGACACTGGGCTAAAATAAGGCATAAGTAAATGATAGAGATATCATCTTAATTCAAGATAAGGCTGCTGTTTACGTAAATAATTAATTGCAAGCAAGATAGAACCTGTCCTATTGTAAACAGAATGTATATGATTTTTATTAACCACTGAAAAGAAGTTTTTTCCCGATCAAATAAATTTATATGAAAATAAAATAATTCTAACAGGTATGGAGTGGGAAGGGCCGCCCAAGCAAGGCTTGTACGACCCTCAGAACGAGCACGAGGCTTGCGGTGTTGGCTTTGTAGTTGCTATCGACGGAAAACGTTCTCATAAAGTAAGTAAACCAGTAGTATGATTTAGTACTGAACAGTGTGTATTATTTAAATAATATTATGATGATGTTATTCGTCAATCGGAGATTAGATATATAATTTGAAGAAATAAACACACATACAAATTTTGTTAAAAATACGTTAGGTACCGACGGGTGTATGTAAATTTTCCACTTAGATACTATTTTTGTTGTATCTAACACAACTATACATATCCAGTTTGATAAAAACTTCGTTGTAACATGTCAATTTTATAAACAACGTTGGCGAAGGTCTAATTAGATCGTTTATTGGATTGTCGTATATTTGACATTGAATTAAGCTTTAATAGCGTTATTCTAATATGAAATATCGTTTCAAGTGCTCATAATTTCGCTCTTGTAATGTTTTAGATGTTATCTGCACGTGTGCAGCTATTTCCAGGTGTCTGTCATACAGCTTCCAATTAATGATCTGATATAGATAGGTTATACTTTTATTATATTTTCTTTATAATGGTAACATGTTATGATTTTTAAGTATTTTAAGTGTGCCAATGTAGTCACGTGTGCAGTCTTTTTTAATGTCTACTGCTAGGCACGGACCCTCCCCTTAATGCGAGGGGAATCAGGCCATATCCGTTAGGATTTACTTTTATCCATATCAGTTCAAGGTTTTACTCATGCTTGAGTAAAATATCTTTCAAACATCTTGATATCACATTTATAACATTACTTAATAGAGTGTTATATTTCCCTTGTTAGATTGTTCGCGATGCCGAAACCCTCGCAAAACGTATGGAACATCGCGGCGCGTGCGCATGCGACAACGATACAGGAGACGGTGCAGGAGTTTTAACTGCTATACCGCATCAGTTCTACTGCGCTCAACTTAGGTAAGTTATACGAAATTTTATTATTTGTTAAGAAATGTTTTATTATTTTCACTACAATGATGTATATTGGACATTTGTTTTTTAGAAATACTAACATAGTGTTGAATATCCAACGCATAAACTAGTATCTTCTTAACACCTCCAGGTAAATTTCTAAGAAATTAATTAAAATTTTAAGAAATCTATTGTTAACTGACACGCCGGCGTGTCCGCGGTCGTGGATACTTAATCCTTTAATGCAGAGATTCCGCAAATAAATGGTAATTCTTAATATTTTTTCTTATCTTAACCATAAAGTAAATAGAGAGCAATTCAACCTCGTTATTTATATTTTAAGATTATTTATATGAATAATCTAAGTTTATATTATATTTTACTGCATGCCACAACAATCAAAATTTTCTTCATCTTGTTTTCAGCTAAGAGTACTTGAATAAAAAATAAAAAATTGCAACATTGAAAAAAAAAGAATTATTATACGTGTTATACTTTGTAAAACAATTTCATATCACATTCATGTAATATAAAAAATATTTACATAAATTACGTCAGATTTTTATAAAATCCTATATTTAACATTACATAGCATCGTTTTTTAAATATTATATTTTCTGCATGTGGTTGATAATATTAAATAATATTCAATCACGATTTTTTTCCGAGCTGAGCTAAAAAGTTTGAATGCGCCCAAAGTTGCAAGAACAGATTCTAAAAAGTAAACACTAAAAAAAATAAAAATATGTCTAGATACCGTTACAAAGTGATTATATATGTATGTATAGGTAGGTGTGTTAACACATATTATTTTTATTATTATTACGTAACGAAACAAAATTAAATCAAAAAGAAACATGGGCATCGAGCCACGTACAGGTAACAATGGGTTCGCTTTACTTGGCATAGTTCCAATGTTCCCTTTGACAAATCGATTCCCTGGAAGTTGCGGTTTGGTTATCTGAAGACAGTCTTAAAGCCCTATCGATGCTATAGTACTATTTCTTTGCTCTATCCATACTTATTAAAAGTATTCATTCAAATATGTTTTTAAGCAATTCGATTTTGTGTTTGCGTCGTATTTTGTATTTTTGCAATAAAAAAAATCTATTTTTATTAATATTTATTACTATACTTTGGACTCACCCTCGTTTCGCTCGGGTTCGTCCCTAGGTTGATTTCCCATACTTTCATCCCCATTTTCATCTCCTTAAGGGATGATTTCCGATGATGATAATTACCCCCTACAACCTCACAAGCACACAAATATTTACCTCTATAATATTAGCATAGATAAAGTCCGTTTTTTGTACTCCATATTAGTATACGTAGTTATAACCGCGTCATATTATGAGCACGATAATATAATTTAGCTTTAAAGACTTGTTCAGATATAAACCTATACCTATATTTTGTTACATATCGGTAGCCCAGTTTTGTAATACGATAACTTCAACGTATAGTTTGTGGTTTACCAGTCTATTATATTACATCCGATAGGCATGTGTATTGTGTACGCAGGCATTAATTACCTACTGATAAGATGTCTAAAAGATAGATTAAAGATTTTAAAATAATGATGAGAGATTTTTAAAGCTTAGCATAGTGTTTATGTGTTGCGTATTTGCTTAATAAAGGCAAATAACACACTATCAGTATAGATCCGATCGCTCTCATCCGCATTCCTTCCACTGCAATTTTTTGAATTAACTGATTAGTTAAGCGTTCTGAAGAAACAGTTGTGTGTTCAGTGTACAATTTAAAACACGTGAATTTATTTGCTATTTTATATTTTTTGATATTATTACAATATCACTATCAAACTACCGACTCATCCTTGCTTCGCTCGGGTTTGTCCCTACGTTTTACATTCAGTATAGAATTCTCACAGGTGAGATATTTTCCCGCAGTAAAAAGTATCCTATAGGTATATTGACACGGCTAACCATCTATCATTACAAAATTTCATTAAAATCTGTCCAATGGTTTTCTAATGATGCGTTTCCAGATAGACAGACAAAAATTCTAAAAACTATAGATTCGGCCCCTGTATCGATAATAATAATTATTTCAATAAGACTTTCCAAAAAATATTTAATGTACAGATTCGTCTCAGTCTGTATTTTATTATATGTATAGATTTTTAAGCGCATAGTATAATTGATTTCGCTAAAATCAATTTGAATAAAGAAATAACGAGAACTTTAATTTTAAAAGCCTTGCAATCCTCAATAATAAATTTAAAAAATATAATTTTCAATTTATCTAAAAATTCGTAATCATTATACATTCAAATAATAATTTTAATAAGAAATTGCGTACTTTTTATTTAATAGTTGTATTTACTTATAAAATACTAGCGGACCCGACTGAGGTTGTCCTGTCTACACGTCTTTAATTTGAAAATTTCAAACTTTTTTTAATATTTTTTTTGATGAAAATTATTATTCAAATTGTGAATCTAAACCATTCCCAGATCCCCTTGAACACACACAAAAAATTTCATCAAAATCGGTCCAGTCGTTTGAGAGAAGTTCAGTGACATACACACTCACAGAAGAATTATATATATAAAGATAAACATTTTTAAAAAATTCGAATACTTTCATAAAATTTGATAAAGGTGTATTTGTAGCGTAAGGTAGAAAACTTATGTAAAAGTACATAATATATTATGTTATTTGGGTTTCATCTTATTGATGCGGGACTGCGAATTTTGTTATTTATTATATTTGACTACTCCTAACTATAAGATCACTTTACTATGACCTATTCGGTTCCAAAGTATATTTAACGAAAGTCGAATCGAACCGTTCATACTTCATATTCATAGTCAGCTTGTCCCAATGAAAACTATTGTCGTCTGACCCACTGTACAAGTAGATAATGACAATATACAGTTTCTAACTACGCAGTTTAGAAGGACGTTATTTGTATAGAAAATCAGAAAATTTAGATTTGCTGTTATCTATCTATCTATCTATATAAATAAAAATGAATCACCGAAATCTGTGTACGTGCATAACTTCCGATCGACTGCACTAAATTATAATTCTTTTTAAAAAAAAGTGTTTGTTATTATCAGGACAAGTTTTTTATAGAAGAAAATTATTTTTTTCACTAACATAATCTCATGATATGGAAAGTGAGTGAGTGACATAGTTTTATCCCGAAAATCATCCCTTAAGGGGGTGACAATGGGGATGAATGTTTGTACAGGAAAGCAAGTTTGATATAAAGTTAAATATACAATCGAACATCATTAGCTAGTTTGCTGGTTTGTTCGTGAAAGGCCACGCAGTATCAGATCTACACGCGATTTTTGTACTAAGTACTTACTATCGATTTACCCTCGGTATGCTCGAGAAGTCACTAGTTACCAAACGGTAGCCTATCTGCTACTACAGCTTATTAGCTATCTGTGCACTAAATATCCAAATTCATCCAGCATTTCTAGGAGTAACAAATATACACACAAATACAACTTTCGCATTTAAAATATATAGTTATCCGACAACAATTATTTTCGTTCATTAAAAGCAAAAAATGAGTTTTTTTTATTCCGTAACGCTATGCATTCCCTAGGGATGTTAGTATGTTAATTTGGGGTGTGCCTTAAATAAAAAGGGTGGGATATTTCTTCGTATACAATACTTTTATAGAATCGTACTGTGAGCTGTAACTTCCTATGGAAATGGTATATGAATGTCCCGACCGCCAGATGCGCAATAGATATTATAGCAACTCCGGGCTGTTACTGAGGATTTATTAACAGAAAAACTCAGTAACTAAACTTGGCACGAACCGAAACTCGAACCCAGGACCTCCATATATGCAGCCGTACATGCTAACCGCTAGACCACCGAGGCAGTTAACTCTATGAACGTTGTCATATCAGTGTTGATTCTGTACATTGCAGTGTCGTGCGTGTACAATTCTCTCAGAACAACCGCTGCTAATTGAGTTTACACTCTTACAATGATTCAAGGACGTATCGGATACTGTACCTACTTCGAGTATTTGTCATTTGACAGACATTACAAAATACATACAGCGTTATTGATATTAAATATTCTATATAATAAAAATTAAATACTGTTTGTTGGTGACCACATCACGTGATAACGGTTGGATTCATTTGGCTATTTCTTTATACATACATATATTTAATTCGGAAGAAACTGAAAGTGCCCTTTTATGTAATTTTTAGGACAACGTCCGTTCTATCAGCCAGTATACCTACCTACAAATAAAGTAGCAATATTGTTGCGTATTTAATGATTGAGCCCACTGCCTTGGTTCTTTTTATGTTGGTTATTAAAGTAACTTATCCTTATTCAATTTTTACTTAAAATATAATTTATACACGATGCTATTTAATAATTTTCTTTTAAGAATATAATATAATTATATGCACTGAAACGGCAGCTGAATAGTTAAGTTCCAATAAAACTTAATATCACTAACATTTACGGAATGCTTATCCAGCTTGGAATCGAGCAATAATATTTTAGGGGGCCGTGTCACCCCTTCCGCCGTATTCAGGTCACGAGCATTATATCCTCTAAGACCTAAGTGGTTGTTCGTGCAAGACGCTGTCATATTAACACTCGCTATTCTAGTTAACAAATATATCCTTTTTAGTTTCTTGTATTTATTATATTTACTTTACATTATATATATACACTAGCGACTCACTCTCGCTTCGCTCGGGTTCGTCCCTAGCTTGCTTCCCAACACAAAGTTTCACCCCGTTAAGGGTTGATTTCCGGAATAAAAAGTATTAAATCGGTTCAGTGGATCCAGAGTTTACCCCCTACCACGTCACAAACTCACAGACTTTACCTCTTTGTAATTTTAGTATAGATGTACATACATTAGCTAACTCTACCGACTTTGTCCTGTGCAAACAAAATTGGGGCTAAATTTCCTAATTTTCTGGACCACTTTTAAAATATTTTCCCCTAAAAACCTTATTCAATTTATTAGAAACACTAAAAACATTT